GTGGGGGGGGTGTGGGGAGACGGGGTTGTAAGAGCCCCAGGGCCGCCTGGAAGCCGCAGACCAGCCCTCGTCAACTCTCTAGAGTCTCCAGAGCCCCCAGGGCGGCAGCCCCTATACAGAGAGCCATGCAGGCCGAGGGCACGGGAGGGGGAGAAGGTGGGAAAACCAGCACTGAGGAGGAGAGAGCCAGTCCCAATGTGAGCCACAGCCACGGAAAATTCCAACAAAGCAGTGAGAAAAGGCGTCATCAGAACCCAGGTACACCACAAGGACAACACCCAAAAGAACAAGAGACAGAAATCAAAAAAGAAGGAGGTGGGGGTGGTGGGGGTGGAGGAGGAGATCAAAAAACAAAGGACAGATGGACGGACGGACGGGAGGGGCGGGAAAGACAGCCGGGCCACAGACGCCGAGTACTTACGTGCACTTCGGTGATTGCTATATCAACAATGCTACCCACAACAATCAAGGCGTCAAATGTATTCCATGCATCACAGAAATAGTGCTGCATGAGCCAGGGAAGCCAGGAGGAGAGAGAGGAGGGCAGGGCAGGAGGGAAAGAAAAAAAAAAAAACAACAAAACAGCAGGGAGAGGGGAATGAAGACAAAACAAGGCATGAAAGAGAGGAGAGAAGAGAAAAAAAATGAGAAGAAAGAGGTTACGAGGCATTTCAAACACTCTTACCACTCTACACAACTCTTGGCGGCTCAAACCTGGACAACCTGGTTTTCGCGGGGCGAAGAGGCCTGACAAAAGCGGGGTTAGTTCCGGGGGGGGGGGCGCCGGAGGCCGCCTGCTCCCTCCGCTCCGGCCCAGCACAGCCGGGCGCAGCTGGCACAATCGGAAAAAAAAAGGAGGACAAACTCCCACAAGGCGACGGTGGGCTCAATAAAAAGTGTGACTGGAGGCGGGTAAAAACAGGAAATTAAAAACAACGAGGACAGCAAAGGACAACACAAAAGGAGGCAGAGAGAGAGGGGGGACACGGCGGAGGAGGAGCAGGCGGGAGGGGCTTCCCTGGGGCTGGAGTAATACTCACGTTAATCTCACTGAGAATGACATCAATTATGCTCCCAATCACGATGAGGAAGTCAAAGACATTCCAGGGATCACTAAAGTAACCCTACATGAAGCGGGGAGGGGCAGGCAGGGCGGGGATTAAAAAGGAGTATTAGACAGACAAGAACAGAGCAGCAACATCACCACCAGAATCATTGTCCTGGCCTCGAGGGTGCGTGTGTGTGGGGTGGTGGTGGGGGGGTCGGGTCTCTGCTGGAAAGTTCCGGAGGGTTCCCCCCCCTGCTCCGGCCGGGAGCCCCGATGGAGGGCGCAGGGTGGCGGGGACAGGTTGAGAGGGCCCCATCCTGGCTGGCACGGTCTCCGTCCGGCAGGTCCATTCTGCCTCTCACCATCCTGGGCACTGGGCCGAGCCGGCCACGGGTGTGTGTGTGTGTGTGTGTGTGTGTGTATCAGGACCTGGCCAGCCTGTTGGGAGGGAGGGGTGGGGTGGGGAGAGGGTCCTGGGGTGGATACCGGAACCGACGTGGGTGACGGGCCACCCGAAGTGGGAAAAGCTACCCGAGACAGCAGCAGAGCCGGCGGGCGGATCTGTACGTGGAAGGGGTCGCCCGGTCCGACGGACAGGGGGCTTCTTTGCTCTGTGTCGTATTTAGAGGCACAGAGGCCAATCTTCACAAAAAGCTCTTTGGAGATTTTTGTGGTAAACCCCGGAACAGGCCGGGCCCAGTGCCCCGACCGTCATCCCTGGCTGGCTGTCCGGCCGCCGCCGGCCAGAGAGGTTCGTCTTCTTTAAGAAACGAACTGTGGTTCCCATGGCTTTCGAGGGAGTGTTCGGAGTGGGTGAGGCGAGGGGCAGCCTGAAGCCAGGGCTCTCTTGTTCACTTTCCAGAACTTTCTTTCTGACCGTGCTGGAGCCTTTGAGGCAGACAGGGAGTGTGTGTGTTGGGGGGTGGGTGGGGACTCCTCTCTCTAGTTAAGTCGCATGCTGTGTGTGAGAAGCCATTGACTTCCTCCCAGGTTCTCAGACATCGCCCACAGAGCAGGACAGAGCTGAACTTTGGGGGGTTCAGGTATGTGTGTGTGTGTGTGGGGGAGTCAGCGGGCTATGCGTTTCTGTGTGCTCTCTGGATGCGCATGCGATCTTTGTGGGTGGAGGGAGGGGAGAGAGGGTGAAGAAGAGAAGGGAGAGAAACGAGAAGGCCAGGGTCCTGCGCGCCAACCTAGAGAACGCGGCAACTCCATGTTATTGGGGGAGGGAGGGTGGGGGGGAGGGCAGGGCTCAGGGAGGGAGGGCGATCTTCCCCGTCCACCAGAGACCTGAAACGAGATGGAGAGCGTGGCCACGTCCGCACCGCCGCTGAGAGAGGAGAGAGGGGGAGGGAGGAAGAAAGGCAGAGCAGAGGCCACGCGTTGAGCGCCAGACGCACACAGTGTACGGGGGGGGGGGGGAGGCTGGGATGCGGAGGGGCTCCGTCCTCTCCCGGATCCGCACCTGGCTCTCCCCTGTCTGGCTCTCCCCTCTGTGTGTGTGCAGACAGACAGGGCCCGTCCCCCCCCCCCCATCTGCACGGCTACACTGGGTCCCGGCTGCCGGGCTGTGCTGCTGGAGCTGTTGATGGACGTCTCTGTCTTCCGCAGAGCCTCAGAGGCTACAGAAGCCAAACCCATCGGTTCCCCCGTGGCCGTGGGCTCCCACGGAGCCAGCCCCGAAAGGACCGGCCCGGCCGGAGGCAGGGGTGAGGAGGTGCGTCCGGGAGGGCAGGCAGGGTCCCCTCAAGCCTCGACCTTCCCCCCTCTCCGCTCCACCAGCCCCTCCTCCCGCCCTCTCCACACCCCACCCCACCCACAAAGCCCGCGGCCGCCATTTTGGTGAACAGTTTGTCCAAGGGAGACACCTGGCCGAGTCTTTGCATGGGCGGGTTTGAGAGGAGTCTCCACACCGGGAGCGTGAGCGCCGCGCGCTCTCTAACACACATCCCTCCCGTTTGATGGAAGCCATTGTTAACTGGGGGAAAGGAATACTCTTTTCTTTTATAAAATCAGTCTGATCCAAGGCCTGTCACCCTTCTTTTTGCAGATGACAGAGCTTCAAATGGGTGGTCAGGGCTGGGGAAAGGGCTCTCCGGAAGGTGGCAAACCAAACCTCGTACTGTCCAGTTCTGCAGAGCCACACAGGGTGGGGGACGGGGAATGAATGGGGCTCGCAGGGTGGAAGCCGTCCCCCCCTTGCCCAGTCCTACCGATCGGGGGGGGGTGGAATTCCTCCTCCAGATTCCCAGGCCTCTGAGACCAGGCCGGAGCGAGGGATGGTCTCTGCTCCCACCCAGAATGGAGACATCAGGCTGACAAACATGCCTCTGGCCAGGAATCCCCCCCCCCCCCGGGCACCGACTAGGGTGTCAGTAAATCCTATCAGGAAGGAAAAATGGCCGCAAGGATGCCTTCTACACGCACAAGAACCGTGCGCTGGTGGGAGGAAGTTAGGCCCCGAAGGAAATACTGGGACTCCTGTTTCTCCTCATTTCCCAACTTGCAAAGTGAACGGGCCTCCTCCACCGTCACGGGCTGCCACGTGACCGTGGATTATAACCTCCAAAACGATGAGCCAAAATGAACCTTGCCCCTCGTCAGGTTGGCTGGCCTGGTCACCCAGGCACCACATGGCAGAGTTGATTTGCTGCCCACGCTGCTCTGAGGATCACCCTCCCTACTCCCCCCGACCTCTTTTCAACGCGATGATTTCCCAAGACAGAAGACAGCGCACGGTCCTTCCTGTGTGTCCAGCCGGTGCCGGGGTGGTGGTGGGTGGGCTGGCGGTGCCCTGGGGCTGGAGGGGTGCAGCTCTGCCTCCGTCCCCGGGACAGAGACACAGATGGGGGCGCGGGGGGACGTGGGGGGGACTGCCGCGTCCTTCCCCAGTGTGAGCAATTTCCACATTCGGTAATTAAACGGAATCGCTGACACCGCCCTCCGCGCCCAGTGCTTTCTACCGAGTCCTGTCATTTGCTTTGATCACCGGTGGTAACTCCTGAAAGCAGTCAAGCAGCCTGGCAGGCAGGCAGGCAGGCAATCTGTCACAATGTTGGTCTCGGGGTACAGGGGGTACCGTGGGGTGGCCCCGCCTGTCCCCCCTCCTGACAGGCCGCCCCCCTCCACCGTGGGCACGCGGCAAACAAGCCATCATCGGGGGCGCCGGGTCACCAGTGAGCTGCCAGGAGACGGGGCTCGGCTTAGGGCTGCGCCTGGGCCGGCGGCCTCCAGGGGGCGCACTGGGCCCGCGGCAGGCTCGCGGAGGTG